CCTAACTCTGTCCTAACTCACCCTCGCATCCTAGAGCGGGTAGTACAGAGCAGAGTGCTCCTGGCAGAGGCCTAAACAGAATCATCTGCCTCCTCCTCCTAGAAGAACAGGCTCCAGGCTAAGTGCTGCTACTGCTCATCAGGGCCTTGATGGAGATGCTTAAAGGAGGCTGAAGGGAGGCACTAGAGGCTCTGCAGGTCACGGATGGCTCACCTGTTAGCAGCTTTGAGGAACGTGACAAGTGGGTCTCACATTGAGCAGGCCAAGGTCTGTGTCCAGAGGGCAAACGAAAATGTCTTTCCTCCTCATTAAAAGTATGCTGTAACCGTATGAAAGAAAACATTAATAACACAACCATTTCCACTTTTATAGTCCCTTCCAGTCTTTGCCTAAATTCATGCATCTAAAAAAAATTCAGTATTTGGAGTCAGAGTGAACATACCATTTTGCAGATAAGTTGGATTCTTGCTAGGGAACCAGATCAACAGGGTTCTATAGAAGGGATCATTCTCACCCAGACCCCGTGGCCCTGTCATCTTGATTTTTCTCTCCATTAAATTTGGCGTGACCTGACTTAGGTTAAACTTTTTCTGTTCCATTTCTGCTCCCAGAGTATCACAGAGAGATAAATACGAATCTCCCCTCTGGTTTATCTTTTGTACTGGAATGTGACTGGAATTTGAGTGCAGGAAGAAAGCAGGTGGAACACTGAAAAACGTATTTACTGTCTACGCTCAGGTATCTGCCAGGCTTTACATAGACTTTTTAATTGAGGACCTCAGTGCCAAGTTTCACTTATCCTTTAATCTTTACCATTTATCATTTATTTAACATCTTCTGCCTTTCCTATCCCACCTATGTGCACTTTTGATGTGAACACACTCCCCTAATGTATCCATGCTGGACTGACATGGTCTCCTGAGTATTTGTGTCCTGGGATTCATTTACTCCATCATTATTATATGCAGGATGAAGCAGAGCAGCAAAAACCATAGTCTAGATCCAAGTCCTGCCTCTCTCATTTATTAGCCCTACACTTTGGTCAAATCACTTGTAAATTGGAGACAATAGTAGTAGCTGCTTCATCGTTGTTAGAAGGAGCAGATGAATTAGTACTTGCAAAGCAGTACAACAGAGCCTGGGACATATTAAGAGCTCAGGGAATATTAGGTGTTGTCCAAATGTCTTCTAATCTTCAAAGACCAGACAACATTCTACCTCTGATTTTCTCTGATTAATGTTACACAACCCATAGTGAGCGTTTAATCTTTTGAAAGTGTAACATAATTAATACTTAATTTACTTGGGACCTTGATACAGGTGGAGAATAGATGGGAAAAAACAATATCTAGGTTCCAATCTTGGCACAGTAGACATTGTGGGGCTTTGAGTGATCTGCTTAAATCTTAGTTTTGACATCTGTAAAATGGATATTTTGATACACTTGAAGGGCGATTGTTAGGACTAAAGAGGTAGAGCAGAGTTAAGAAGTTTCTCAAGGGCCAGGGATTTAGCTCAGTGGTTTTGCTGCCTGCTGCACAAGTGCAAGGACCTGAGTTCGAGTCCCCGTAACAAAAAAAAAAGTTTCTCGTACATATCCTGAGTCATGGTAGACCCCCATTACATATACAAGCTCTTTCAAAATATCTTAGAGTTTTCGTTTTCTTGTTTGTAAAAACAAAATCATCATAGAAATTTAGATAATATAACAGTGTAGATAGAGAAAATTAAAATAATGATAAACATCTTTCTAGAGACAACTGCCCAGGTGGTAGCTCCAATCCTGGGAACTAAGAGCTGGGTGTATTTCTTTTAGTTTCTCTCTCTCTTTCCCATGAGCTGCACAAGAATGCACGTGTGCTTTATTTTTTTGTTTTTGGTACTGAGGATTGAACTTGGGACCTTGCACTTTCGAGGCAGACGCCGGAACCACTGAGCTAAATCCCCAGCCTGCACATGTGTTTTAAAAAGAGCCAGGCGTGGTGGCACACTCTTGTAATCCCAGCACTTGGGAGGTTGGGGCAAGAGGATTGCTGCAAGTTTGAGACCAGCCTGAGTTACATAGTGAGACCCGGCTGAAAGAAAGAAAGAAAGAAATCACATTGTATACTAATTTTGCAGCCTACTTTACATAAGCATTTCTCCATCTCATTAGTTTTTTTCAAAGCTATGGTTTTCATGAGCTGTAAAGTATCCTATACACGTCCATACTCAACTATTGAACCATAACGTTATTATTGGCATCTGAGATTTTATTTAGGTTGTAGCTATTCTGAATCATGCTGCATTAAATATCTTTGTATATGAACTCTGTAAGTGTTCTTGATTAATTTGTTAAGATAAGTTCCTAGGAATAAAAATACTCACTCCAAGAAAGCACATTGAAGGATCCTGGTACATATTGCCAACTTGCACCTTCCCAAAAGATTGTATAAATTATATTCCTACCAATAGTGACTGACATGACATGGAATATGCCCTTCACATGTCACCTTTGCTAACTCTGTTGTTATTTAACCTTTCATCTGCTTTATCTAGTACCTTTCAGCCTAGATAGCACATAATTTTTTTTTTTTGGTACTGGGGATCGAACTCCGGTCCTTCCACTTGCGAGGCAGGCGGCGGAACCACTGAGCTAAATCCCTGGCCAATAGCACGTAATCTTGAGCAGGCACTGTGGCCATCTGCTTCTCTATAACATGAGAACTTCGCCTGTTGTCACTCACATAGCATCACTTACTATTTGTCCAATGAATGAATGAATATCCACAGATATCTCTCTGGGGTTAAGAGCTACAGAAGGCATTCAAACAATCACTTTCAAATTGGTCAAAATGAGAGAGAAGGTTATAGAGTTGTCCTTGCTCTCACAGGGAGATGGACTGGAGAGAAGAGCATTAACTCACGGATAGCTGGGAATGGGTCCAGAAGAGAAAATGAGCTGTTTTTCAGTGTCAGCTCTGCAGGGTGTTTGAAATGGACTTTCTGCACTGCTCTCTGTTCTCTCTTCATTACTGGGTGTGGAGAGGGGCGGGCTCTGCTTTTACAGCCCAGCCATGTAGCAGGATGAGTGGAATTTTCCAGATAGTTCCTCTTGTTGGCTGTTGGCATGCCTGCAGCTTTGCCCTCTGGGAGCCATTAAGCTGCAGCCCCGAAGCCTAGCCGACTGCTTCAGCAGGTCAGCTTGTGGCAGCCTTGCGCTTTTGTTGACACCGAGCCACGTAGGGGTCCAGACCACACATACCGCTTTTATTTTTCTTGCGCTAGCTCCCGACTACACGCCCTGACTAATGGGGCTGAAGTGAGGAAGGTGTCGCGCCCCTCCCCCAGCACACACACCCATCCCCAGTACAGTGACTCAGACGACTCTCTGGCAACCAGGACCTTTCTGGGGCCAGAATCTGGAGTCATCTGCTGGGAGTAACACATTGTTTCAGAATTTCCCTCAGTGTTGAACACCCCAACTGTGCACATGAGTTGATGCTTCCTTTTCCCTATACCCTAGAACCTCCCAGGATTGTTCTTTCTGTTTTCAGGTAGAGGCTTTGAGTGTGAAAGTCTGCATGGGTTGGGGGCATCTGAGCTCATCATCGTATCTCCCTGTGTTATGGTTGTACCTGCCCATTTGTAAACTGACCACTTATTCTCACCATTCTCAATGAATACAGGTTTCCCGGGAAGCAGGTAAACCGAAGTGGTAAGTCTGGATGGCGAGACCCTGTCATGGACGAATGGTTTGCCTTTTAGGGTGGGCTGGTTATTTCCCTATTCTCTGGCTGTCAAAGAGGTTACGTTTTAGGGCCTCCTCTTCTCAGAGGTCTAATTTAACCACAAGTTAGAAGACGTCTCTTAGAATTAAGAATCACAATTGTGGCAGATAGGATGAATCAGTATGTAACTCCTGGTTTGCCGAAACTGGACCAGGTACAACTGTATTTCCCACACGCCCTAGCAGTTACAGTTTTGATGAGATCCATTAAAACTTGAGATCTGGATACAGGACTAAGTTGTGTGTTCCTATTTCCTTCATTTTGAGGCAAAGTCTTGCTAAGATTCCCAGGCTGGCCTCAAGCTTTCAATCCTCCTGCTTCAGCATCTTGAGCAGCATGTGCCACTCTGCCCAGTCTTAAAGCAGTGCTCTGTCTTACCCTTTTCATCTGTTGGCCAAGACAATGAAATGGCTGAATTTTGTCCTTGGCTTTGTTATGGATTCCTTTTGTCTGGAGCTAGATTTGAATTATCTTGTTCCTTTTTATATGCTTTTCCTTGCAATGGTAGGTGACTTCATATTGTACTATTCTGTTATGTGGCAGGTTTTTTTCCCTGAAATTATATTGATGTCCCATCAAAAAAGTATGTCTTTGTTGACTTATCTAATTGGAATAATTTAATGGGTCAATTCGCAGACTTACCTCTCCATAAAGAGTAGTATTAATAAGCATAAATCATGTAATATAAATTTGCAAAATAGAATCTTGCAATACATATAGAGTAGGGCTGGGAGAAACACTTTGCTGTTTGAAGACATCAGTACTGGTAGTTCAACCAAAAAGCCACACATTGCATGTAAGTCACGCCCAGCCTATCCTGACATCTGGGAGTGGATTCAGCCTGTTATCACTGAGGTGCCATACTACACTCCCCCTCCCTTTGGTTTTCACATGGGCTTTTTGGGGGCCCCACTTTGCCATGAAAAGATGCCATCTCAGGCATCCAAGGTGCTTGCTGGAACAGACTAGTTTAACTGGGCAAGACCGGGCTCAGTAATTATAAAATTAGCATGTATTCCATCAGAGCCTTCTCCAGTGCTGTTTGGTTCTTCATATACACAGTTACAAAGAAAGAGCAATTAGAGAAGTGGAACTCCAAGCCTGAATGGACAGTGCTTCCCCCCCTTGCAGGTTCTGTAGAAATTGCTCTGGTGTGAGCTGGCTTCGCAACGGGATACTGACTCTTCACGAACCAAAACCAGGAAGAAGTAACAAACATGCAGTCTCACATCCGGAACTAAAAAAAAGACTTTATTTACTGAGGGCAAGAGGATGCAAACAATATAAAAATCAAAAGCTTATCTAGCATTAAACTAACTTTCCTTTCTCTGCTTGTCCAATGCGAGTTGGATGTTATTTGTACATTTTCTAAGGGTCCTGATCTGCTCATGAAATCTTTATACAAGGGGAAACTGAGGGGCAGATTCCGTAAGTGGCCCTTTGGGAGAACTCTCATCTGGGCAGGAGTAAACGTTCAATTCTTCCTACTTCTTTCCCTTCTGCTTCATGTGCACTACAAAATAATCATTGCACGCAATGGTGAGGCCTGCGATTAGCGAAAAGAAGCTCTGGAAGCCCACTTTGCCGTCTCGGCACTGGTCCAGGTCCTTCATGATTTTGTCCACAGCCAGAGGATCTTTTTGATTCTGGGGGGGAAAAAAAGAACAAAGATTAGAAGTATTAGTCAACGAACAGTTGCAACCACAAGTGTATCTGATTTGTTCTGGCAATGGTGTGTACAATCTCCTAAGGATCTGAGCTATCACTTTAGGTCATAAGAGACCTTTGTAGGTCGCTTAAATGTCTTTTTTTTTGTCTTGGGAGCATTTCAGTAACTTCATACTTAGACTCTGCCTAAGAACTGCCCTGTACTCACCATTTTGTAGTTCAAACATATTTATTCCTAATAACATGGTCAAATCCTTTCAAAGGAAACTCTTTACGAAAAGATCTCATGAGATTATTAGTTCTACCTATTTTACAGAGGTCCTAATGATACCATAGGGTGTTTTTAAGTTTGAGAAGATGGACAGAAAGCTCTTTTCTCCTTTCACAGCTGAGGCCAAGCGAATGGGACATCCTGACATAGCAGCCATATGACCTTGAGTAAGCTGCATAGCCTAGTGTGCGCTGGTGTATAACAATGAATAGAGGAGTGTGGAATGAAGTGCTGCTCCAGGTTCTACTCCACTCTTTTTTGTTTTTTCCTTTGCAGTGCTGGGCTGGAAATCAGGCTCTTGTGCATACTGGGTTAATGCTTTACCACTGAGCTGGATCCTTAGCCCACTTTTATTCTTGGTGTTGGAAAGTCTACACCACCATGTTCTCGCCACTGGATGCTGCACATTGGACAAATGCGAAAGAGACGTGATGGAATTATAAACTCCCCATGCCTAGTACTAATGTGTGACGCAGTGATGTAAGATCCCCTTTGCCTTCATGGAGACTGGCCTGGTCACTTTTTCAGTGATACTGGTCAGAAGTATAAAAGTGTGATTACTCCTACAGGGTCTACGCCATTGATCAGAGAGGGGCATATGGCTTATCAGAGGTTATTACCAGGCTCAGACCCAAGTACTGATGAGTTCTAGTTATATGAGTGTATCAAGTGTGCCCAATTTTATATACTGCACTCATAGATCCTGTACAGTAAAGCAGCTGACTTTCCTATGTGAGGACTGCAAACTCTTATCCTGAGTAATCAACCTGAACCTGCTCAACGCAGCTAATTCTGGCCTTGCCCCCTGGCTCTGGTCAGAATGGGGAAAATTTGGATAAGGGGTCAATTTTAGAAGCAAAATGCTGTTGATGCAGTTACTGTTGGTGTGTCTAGAATTATGACCCCATGCCTAGAATAAATGATCCCACTGTGATCAGCATTCTGCACTACATACCTTTTATGTTGCTGATGTCACACAGCCTTTAGGGAGGAAGGGTCTGTGTCTTATGTGATGTTTATTCTGGCTTCTAACTTATACAACATGATTAGCAAGTGCTTGGCAATGAGAACACCTTCGTCTATGTGATGGCCTGGCGTGGAAGGAGCACATTCTGTCCTGGCATTTTATGCTTGCCTACAAGATCACAGAAAGTGAAAGCAATCTTGCAGCTTATCTGTCCAGCCCTCTCATTTTACAGAGGAAGGAACCAAGGCCCACAGGACTGAAGCAACCTGCCTAGTTTTAGTTAGGCCAGAGCCAGATCTTCTAATTCCCGATCTGGGGTTGGATCACAGGGTTCTACACAGGGAGCCTAACTCTGGGATAGCACTGTGGTGACTGCAGCTCAGAGAGAGGAACTAGCCCAGTGACGTGAAACAAACAGCCTGCTGCAGCATGCGTGCCACAGGTTCGCCACTGCTGTTAGGCTAGTTATGTAACTACTATTGATGACATGTAAAAATAGTATTAATTGATGCAGGAGTCAGGGGCTTGACTACTGGGCTATTTACCAGGCAGATAGCAAGAGGCCAGACCTAGCCTTTCCCCATCATCTACCCTCACCCTTCAGGGCCTAAGGCATTATTCAACACCTAGAACAAGAATGATACTTGCAAATGACTACAACTGCAGCAGGGAAAGATGAGTTTTCATTTCAATCTGCTGTTGGGTCAAGCAATGCTTTGCCTTGGTTGACCGTTAAATTAACCACCATCTCTTGAGCATCTACAAAGTCAAAGGACAGCTGAGCCTTGTGGTCTCATGCCCTGATGATGTATCTGGGCTTTTGGCAGAGTCCACTTCATCTTGGGGTTGCTCAGTTAAAGGTGAGGCACAAACTTGACTGTGCCCCTGTGTTCTGTAGTGATTTCAGTGTGGAAAGTAGTTATTTCTGGAGCCACACTTGGCTTTTATTTAGCTGATGACGATATAATTCCTGTATGGATTAGAGTTGGAAAAGAAAAAAAACCACATGGCTTTGTCTGAAGGGATTTAGGAAGGGAGATTTCAGCTCGAGGTATCACTCAGCATGTGGAAGTCCTGGGTTTGATCCCCAGGAAAATAAAAAGGAGATCCAAGTTGCTCGAAGCAGAATGTGACCAGGATGTGGCATCTCCCGCACCAGGTTTAAGGACCTGAGGGTGGACTTTCGCTGGTTTTACTCTCTCGAAAAAGCCTTCTTTCTCTCACATTATTGCAACAGACGCAAGTGACTCCAGGTGGAACGTTCTAAAAACAATTTTCTACTTTGTGTAGTGGTTGTGTCTCACCTCATTTCACCTGCAGACTGTAAGCTCCCTGAGGACAGGGGCTGTGTCTTCTTCACCTTGTGTCCCTATACTGCCTTACAGGTACTAGGTGCTCAATACCGTTTAATAAATACATGAATGAAGACCCTTTTTTGTAGTGACCTCTGCAGAGAAAGGTGGCAAGATGGAAAGGAAGCAGTGACTTATATGTTTGGCTGTTTTGAAGCCTTTCAAGACCTACTTCCAAAAACCCAGGGAACTCCTTTTCCATGAGTACTCGCAGGTCCTCCTTCGTTAAGTAGCCTTTGTCCCCGGCAAATTTGTGAAATGTAAACATCATGGTTTCCATGGCGTGTTCCATTTGGGATGGCATTTTGGTGAAGTCTGTTGAAACCTATTAAAGGATATAAAGAAAAAGAGTTGCCAGTTAGCTTTTAAATCACATGTCCTGGCGATCTTTTGAGGATACTTGGTAGGAGGCTGAAACTCAATGAATCTAAGGACCAACTCAACTCCACTTTTGGATCTCTCGATGGTGGAAATAGACACCTCAGGTATCAGTGCTTTGCAGGAGAGATTTATCTGGTTGCCAGCTAATTCTGCATAAGTCACCTACTGAAGAATACAAACTGAAATCATCTGGAAAAGCAAAACCAATGCACCTCTTTTTTTAGTGTATGTGCTGCCGAAGCGAGCACCCAATGCACCTCCTTTTAACCGACAAAGCATTTATTGAAAGAACACATTTCTTCATTTCTCTTGGCACTGGCAAAAGGGACTCTGAGATTTGGCTGAAAACTCACATAGACAAGCCTGGTTAATATGAAAACTTCAACCTTCCAGGCTTAACTTGGTAACCTGGTTTGTACTGATTCTGGGATTTAGAAATCTGCTTCCAGATTCGTCTGCTGGGTATTTATACTTCACTAAAGTTCTGAACTTGTTATTTGTTTCAATAAAGATATTTGCATCTCTGGTGGTAAAATGCAGCAACTCTACCTCAGTACAAGTTTCCCAAAGTTCATTACTGACTTCACGGGGGAAAGAGTAAGACAGACACTAGAGTCCTAATGCCTATGCGGGACTGACATACTTTGGCAGCCTGAAATAGAAATGCTGTTCTCATAGACTAGGGTGTGGTGGGAAAACAAGAGCTTTTCATCAGGAAGAGTTCAGGAGAGGAAAAGAAACATGTCCGATCACTGGATTCAGATGCAATGAACTCGAGGGACATGTTTCATCAAGAAAGACCCAGTGCCTGGTACATAACAGGGGCTCAGTGGATTCTAGCTTAACAGAAGGTACACTCTAGCCACAACAGAGCACATAATATCACATAAAATCTATACTGGACAGGAAACAGTGAACTTGTTTGGAGACTGTAATATATTACTTTAAAAAATTACAATAGTAAGGAATGAGAAACTAGAGACATTTATAGCTAAATGGATGCACACTGAGGCCATACTCTTAAGTCAAATAAATAAGACACACATGTGTGAATACTGAATAGTTTCTTTGGTGTGAGAAACTAAAAGTGTAAATAAATAAGGATCAAAATGTATAACTGATAATGTGAAATAGGAAGCAAAGGTTTAAAGGGGTAGGGGAAAGGAAAGAAGGGAAAGGAAAAAATATGAGAAAAGGAAGAACATGGAAACAAAGCCTTTGTAAATAGGGAGGGGTGGAGGGGTTGAAGGGAGGGCAGGGGAAGGGGGAAAAATAAGAACCAAGATACAACATGTAAAGGTACAAGTTCCCAATGATGAATGTAACTGTATTGTATACCTCAAATGTACCAATAAACTTAATTTAAAAAATTACAGTAGGCTCTGAGCACAGTAGGAGAGGCTGGCAGCTTTCCCTGTTGAAGAGCCAATAGGAACCCAAGCTATGCCTGGGTCTGGTTCCAGAGGGGGAGAGGGAGGGGGAGGGGGAGGGGGGAGGGGCAGAGAGATGTACCTGTGCAACCCAGGTCCCTAAATACTGTCTTTGCAGAGGGAAAAGTTGAGGCGGTGAACACTAGGATTGAGCAGTGATGTGGAAGAGCTGTAACTTCTACCCCTTAATCTCCAGAGAGGTACAAGAACCAGCATGCCAAAGAATGCTACTCTAGGGAATGCTATAAACCAGAATCCGGCACGATGTTTCTGGAAGTCTGTTCTCTAGCTAGCAGAGAGAAGTACATGCACACTTCAAGGTCCACCGTGGGATGAACTGGGGGACCACACCCATCTCCTCCTCTTCCTGCAGTCTGGTCTGTCTCACCCCCAACTGCCACGTGGGTTTCCCAAGGCAGTGGGCCCAGGACAGAGTCTGTCTTACCTGGATTGGTCTGAAGTCTAGCAATTTAAGAAAACTGAATTGAGTGAGTCAACTACATAAGAAGAACCAGGGCTCCTGCCTCAGTACTTAAATAACTCAGGAAACAAGTCAGACACAACTAAGGTTTAAAAATACCTGTGCCCAGCCGGGCGTGGTGGCGCACTCAGTAATCCCAGCACTCAGGAAGCTGAGGCAGGGAGAATCGCTGTGAGCAGGAGGCCAGCCTGGGCTACAGAGTGAGACCCTGTCTCAAAAAACAAAAACAAACAAAAGACCTGTGCCCAAGCCCAGGGCAGCAGAGCACTTACTGACCAACTCCCCAGATCACAGGCTTTAGAAATGAGTAGGACACGTGCTTCTATCTCTTCACAACACAGAGCAGGAGAGTGGGCTGCAAAGCCAGAGAAGGGGATGCAGCAGGATAAGGATCCCTAAAATAGGAAAAAACACAGATTTTTCCCCAAGAAATACAAGCAGTGAGCTGAGGAAATCCTGTCCATGAGAATGCGGTCAGTTTACCATGCAAGCACAGCTCAGGTCTGAGGCCACTCCGGTCAGCCCTTCCTTGTCTACACTGGCTATGAAGTGATGGAGCCTCCCCTCTAAAGCCGTGTCCCTGTCACTCTCTCTCTCACACACACACACACACACACACACACACACACACACACACACACACGGCAGCCAGCTGACTCCCTGCGCATCCACTCGACCTTCTGCAGTAAGAAGGTAGGGGAGGCTGAGGCAAGACGACCTCAAATTTGAGCCCAGCCTGGGCAATTGACAAGACTTAGCAAGACCCTGGCTCAAAATAAAAAGTCTGGGGATTTAGCTCAGAGTGAAGACCCTGGATTTAACTAACTCCTAGTGCCACGAAAAACAAAAAGCCCACAAAGAATGCAGGGCAGCCAGAGTGAAAACAGCACTGAAAATCAGAGATGACTATGTCCCCGGGGGCACTGGCCAAGGTGACAAGACAGGGACTGTGTTTTGAAGACCCTATACAAGGGTTTTAAAGTAAGATGTAGGAAAAGCGGGGATGTTTGCTTCACTTACAACTCCTCTTGGCTAGATGAATCCCGAAGCCTTTCTGCCGTGTGGCGGGTCCAGCAGGGAGCTCGCTCCCTCCTAGCGGGTGGCTGGCAGGGCAGCCTGCAGTGCTGACTGTGGGTTATTAAAGCCCAAGTTCCTCAGGCCATGAACCACTCCAGTGGGGTGGGCCTGCCTCCTGCTTAGATGCACTGGCACGAGGGCCTTGGGACCTGACTTCAGGGCAGCAGCATCTTTTGGGTATCCCCAACAACCTATTCCTGCACCCCAAACAGTCAACTGCATTCAGCTGTTTGCCTGTCTGCAATTTAAGCTCTCCTTTTCTTAGTCAAGAACTGTAAATTGTTCTGCTTTTATCCACAGACCACTAAATGACTGCTTGTTACATAAATGAATAAATGAATCAAATAATCTGATTACCTAGAAGAGGCCGAAAACCTTGCAGCGAAGAGCTCAGCAGCAGACATGAGCACTGGGAAGGGCCAGGAAAGGGGCCCCAACAGGGCCCGCCTATGAATGGACCAGCAGAGTACACATTCCGCATGAGAAGGGAAAAATGTGTGTCTTGCTAAACAGGTCTGGTCAGACTCTACCAGGACCTCTGACTGTCGCAGGTTTCTTGTGTTTTCATTCATCCCACCTTCTTCTTTGTGCTTTTCTAGCTCTGCCAGCTCCCTGCTGAGCTCTATGGGATGTACTAACCTCACCTTTTTTTTTTTTTTTTTTTTTGAAGTTTTTTGAGACAGGGTCTCACTGTGTAGTCCAGGCTGCCCTCAAACTCGTGGCAATCCTGTGCCTCAGCCTCCTGAGTGCTGGGATTATAGGTGTGCACCACCACACCCAGCCCCACTCACCTTTTCCTGAATTATTTTATTCTGAGGCCTGCCTATGCTCTCTACATGTTTGCTTGTAAGCAGTAAGAATGAAGGCTCAGAAATCTGATCTCTCTCTGCAGTTTTCTCTACAGAAAACAATCCTGGATTCTACACATCTAGTTAATGTGACAAGAATCCCATTTTCTATTTTTGGTTCTCCCAAACTAAGGAACTACTTTGCACGTTCCAAGGACAGTGTTAGAGATTCATTCTCTCTCCATGACGCTCACCACCAGCTAATGGAATAGTATTTAAAAGTCCATCCTCGGCGGGGGATTTAGCTCAGTGGTTTTACCGCCTGCTGCGCAAGCGCAAGGACCAGAGTTCAATCCCCGGTACAAAAGAAAGAAGTCCATCCTCAATTCTAGTTATTTGTGTTTCTGGTTCTCTGCCCGTTAGATTGTAAGCTCCTCAGGGAGTCTCAGCAGCCAGTGCCCAGGCTTCCTGCAGCCTGCTCCATGTACCAGAAAGAGGGAAATGGACAATAATGTCACTTCGGTCCTCCCAGGAGGAGCAGGGGAGGAGCCTCCCTTAGGAAAGTATCCGCTTCTGAGCAATCCCAAATGTCTGCTCTGGACCTACGCCCGGATTGAGGCCGTAATTTTCAAGAGGACACTTCTAAGGGCCAAGAGGTCTGGCTTACTTTGCTCATCTGCACCTCGTCCACAGCCTGGTTTTCTCAGAGCCACCCAGAAACTGATTGGCAGTGTGTCAGTAAAAACAAACATCTGTTATTTGAAATATACTCCAAGTTTTCTTCCTCTTGTTTTGCGGATTTGGAAAATGAAAAAAATTCTTTTATTGAAAGTGAACCCAGAAAAAAAAAAAGAAATTGAGCCTAGAAGGTATTTTAAAATTTGATCCCTAAAAGGAATTAAGAAAAAAGAAGACAATAGATCTCCATCTGGGATGTCTCTCTCACCAACTAAAACTTGCCCACTAAAGAACGGGCCAGCAAAGCAAAGTTCCAGATGCAATTTAACAAGAACTCAGAAACACTGAAGTCTACCAAGTACGTGCATAATTCCTGGAAGAAGGGGCAGGCAGGTAAATTAGCCAACGATTAGCTACTACATCTGCTAATCAATCCTTTGGTGGGGTAAATGGGAGCTGTTTAGCAGAAGGATAGGAAGTACTGAAAATTATGAAAAATAGGTAAATTCTTTCTTTTTGCTTTGATGTGAGGTTCCTAAATTGTTGAGTCCTGGGAAAATGAGAACCTGAAGATCCCAAAATTTTAGTCCAGCTTTCCCAGCTCTTTAAGCGCTCATTTACACATTATAATCCTGAAAGAAGTCCATTGTTTCCCTCAACATTATGCTTTAGAAGGCGGGATTGTGTCCAAGGGCAAACCAAGTGGGTAGTGCTCAAAAAAGTCACATTTTTTGAGCTGTCAATGGAAAGAAAGACGAGGCACCCAGCCCCACGCAGCCCCAGGCTGCACCACACTGGGGTGGCTGGGGAGGCTGGCCAGAGCTCAGACGCCAGAGGACAGGACAAGGGCCCATCTGATGAATTCAGGAAAAGCCAGTTGAGCGTGCAAACAATAGCTCTACGTCCATCAGACCTAGAAAACTTGAACTCCAAAGAGAAACTCCAAAAGCTGGATCAAGGACCACGTGAAGAAACCACTTTTTGGGTGTCAGGAACGTAATAATACCATTTAGAAAAGGTGATTAAATAGCAACCAGAGGGGCGGGGATTTAGCTCAGTGGTTTCGCTGCCTGCTGCGCAAGCGCAAGGACCTGAGTTCGATCCCCGGTACCAATAAATAAATAAATAAATAGCAACCAGATAGGAATCTGTGGGGCAGGGCCAATGAGAAAATCGCAAATGAGTTTTAGGAGCTTATTCCTGGCCCAACGCCTGGCAGCCTGGCATTGCCATTTGCAATTTGCTGAAACACACTGGAGGCAAAGACCACCAACTGGAGGTTTCCATGGGCCTGGCCTCACCTGAAGCGCAGGACACAGTGAAACTCAAGCTGCAGGGGCAAAAAACTGCAGCAACTGCAGACCCCTTCACGGGAAAGGCGACCTCGCAATCCCAAGTACAGCCGAGGCTGGCCCCAGCGGCACATCTAGGCCCACAGCCTGGGTGATAACGCAGCAGCGGGCTCGCCAAGGCCCTGCCGATCTAATTACTACTCTCACCACAGCTCAGTCGAGAAACGGCTCCTCCAAATTGGCACCCAGTCCGGGGTGGGTGACTCACTTCCTCTCGGAAAATGCCCTCTAAGATGCCACAGTTCCTCTTCCCTTCAGGGAGTGTACTGTCCCGAGTAGCTGCATCCAGCGGGCCACACCCACACGGTCTCCCCGCTGAGTCACCGGCCTCGGTCTGCGGCTGCGGGAGAATCCCGGGCCTCGGTGCTGAGCCCCCCACCCCGGGCTCCGGGGGAGGGAGAAGGTGGGATCGAAGGGTGGGCTGAATGCGTCCCAGAACCCGGCTCGGGGCTCTCCCTGCTTCGCGGGCCCGCAGGTGCTCTGCTTTGCTCACCACCCCTACCCGGCACGGCAGTCATGGGCTTGGCGAGGCAGAGCCCGCGCTACGGGAGCCAGGGCCAAGCTGCGACGCAGGGACGAGGCGGCCTGTCTGCCCCGGGGAGAGGCCGGGGCCGCCTGGGCTGGAAGATTCGCCCATTCGCCACCTCGCCCGCTCGGCTCTCCTATCTCCTCCCGGGGCCGCTTACTCAGGAGAGCTTTCGGCCGAGGAGCCGCAGCACCTACCTCTCCCCGCCCCGCCCCAGCAAAGCCTCGGAAAGAAAACAGCGCTCCCCGACTCGGGTGCCGACCAACAGCACGAAGCCCGGCTGGCCACGGGCTCAGCAGGGGCCCCGGGGAGGGAACCCTCGGGCTGCCAGGCCGCCCGGAGCCTGGGGTCGGAGCGGGAGCGGGAGCCCGGCGAGGGCGAGGCTGGGCGTTAGGCGGGAAGGGCGGGAGGGGTCGGTCCGAGCGCCGGACGCCAGGCCGGCAGGGTGTGGCCGCAGCCCCGACTCCTGCCGCTCCGCCCCGGGCCGGTGCGGGGTCGGGGTCGTCGCCCTCCGGGCGCAGCGGGCAGCCAGTGCCCAGGCTCGGTGCGGGCCGGGCCGGGCCGGGGCCGGGAGCGGCGCTCGGGCGGGCGGAGCTCACTCACCGAGGACCTTGGGCTGCGGGCGGCGGGCGGGCAGCGGCGAGGAGCGCACGCGGGCCGCGCCTTTGTAGCGGCGACGGGGCGGGTGGAGCCTGCGGCGGGGCCACGCGGCCCGCCCCCTGCGCACCCCGCGCCGGCCTCCCCACCGGGCAGCCCGCCCTCCTCTCCCGCGCCGCTCCCCTCGGGCCCGCGCGCCCCACCCTGGGCCCGGCCCTTCCTCGCGGGTTCGGTTTCGGGCCGCGCGGAACCCCAGGAATCCGGGCTCCCGCGGGCAGGGCCGCCGGCCCGGAGCCAGCGCGAGGCCCGGGAATCACTTTCCAGGCCGCGGGGACGGGGAGAACGTGGCCCCGCCGCCCTCGGGGGAACACGGGCGTGGCTGATCTCCGCTCGGGGAGAAGCCGGGGGAGAAGCCTGCGGGCCGGGCTGCTCCGGGGCCAGGAGGGAGGGAGCTGCCCGCTTCCGAGCCCCAGGGACCTGCGAACCCCGTGCAGCGGCGGGATTTGCCCTCCCGAGTGCGGCCCGGTTCCAGGTGTGCTTAAAACTGTCAGCGCTGACAGTTTCCAGGTCTCTCTCTTTTTGGTCTGCAGGGGGTCTGCTTGGTCCTGAAAGCCCTTTGGAGGAAATGTCTGGAACAGATTTGGAAAAAAAAAACCCGTTTTTTAAACACCGCTTCCCTCGCTTAACCCTTGGTCTAGGGTTAAAGGCAGACTACTAGCAGCTGTTGATGGAACAGAGCCAGGCCCAGGACAGGGATTTTCTGTGTCCGGGGGACGTCCCGGGACTGGTGAGCGCTCCCAGAGGAACACGCGGGTCAGGGAATCCTCCCAGTGGCGCCACGTGACCAGGCTTGGCTGTGGCCGGGAAAACCCTGTTTGGATTTCAATTCCCACTTTACTAGGACCCTGCTGAAGCCTCGGTGCTGAACATTCAGGAGGGCGGTCCCTCAAGAGCTTCCCATGTACTTCCGGACCCCAGGGTGGTCCCCAGTCAGGACTTCCGGGATCCCTGTGCTCAGGACAGATGTAACTGGATTTAGGATAAGGTAGTTCCTTTAGAAATGGCTCGCCACGGTGCCAAGAAGTTTATTTGAAAAGTGCAGGGTAAATAGGCATGGGTCAAACCAGCTCTGTAGAGCTAACTTGGGCGGAACAAAGAGTGTAAAAGCAAAAATAAAAGTACACGCTGCATCTCAAAGGCAGCACGGACCACGTGCAAACCAGCTCACCACAGCGCTTTCCTGATGGCCCCTCTGTCCATCTGGAGCTGGGAGAAGCTCCTCGGGGTCTCTTGCCTGTCCGGGGATCTTGTAGTTGACAGGTGCCACGCCCTGTCTCCTCCATCAGGAATGCCTCGGTTTGCAGTCCTGTTCATTTCACCTCTTCATTTGGTCCACGAATCTTTAGGGAGGCCTGCATGTGCTGAATCCTGGGGATTCAGACACGGATCCGCCTCTTCCCTCCAACAACTCCAGGTCTTACTGGGAGATAGACAAGCCACCAATTGAAATCCAGGGTGATTGCTTGTGGCCTAGGACACTAAAAGAGTGGTAAGGAGGGCTTCCAAGTCCCCTGGGGGTGGTCGCAATGCTGCTCAGTAGAGGCAGCGTTTGATACAAATTAAAAAATAATAACACTTATTAGGAGTTTTTGATCTGTTAGAAGGTTGTATTATTATAAAAAGCGTGGAAAGTGCAGCAATTTAAAAAAGAAAAATTATTAATAAATGCACACACCAAAGATAAACATTGTATTTTCCTGGTCTTTTAAATCATATGTAAGACATACTTACATAGGTGTGATCACACTGATTCTATGGTTTTGTCTTTGTTTCATAATACTATCCCTTTACTGTTTTCTGTGTCATTAAATATCTGTCAAGAGCACGAGTCTTCAATCACTCATCCCCCCTCCAGGGTGGGGTCCCACCCAGGGGCACTTTATTTGTTAGGGATGATCTCCCTAAGTTGCCCACATTGGCCTAAACTTGTGATCTTCCTGCCTCAGCCTCCTGAATACCTGGGATTACAGGTGAGCACCAGTGTGACTGGCTTAGTTTTCTTTTTCACTCCAATACCTATTGTTTCTTCTCCAGTCTGCCAGCAGGACTCTAGGTGCAGCTCTACCAGGGAGGTGGGTTTCTGAAATACTCTGGGTACAAATGGCCAGCAGGATGGATCCTACACATGGTCTTGGGTGGATTTGTTGTTTTGTGGTGCTGGGGATGAAACGCAGGGTCTCTAGTACGCTAGGCAAGCACCCTGCAACTGAGTACTTCTGGCCCTTTATGTGGTTTCTTAAAGACTGTCTACTAATAGGTCTGTAAATGTCTAAGCACCTGCCGAACCTATAATCTCTCTAGGAAAAGTGGTCGCTGGTATTTCTTTCTCTAAGAAATAGTTTTGTCTTGTCAACCATATGTATAAAGCCACGTCAGCTCTGCTTCCCTGGAGACCGCCCATCCGAGCAGGGTTTCAGGCCGAGCTGCCCAGCAAGGGTGGAGTCTCAGCCGCTGGTGAAGGGGGGAGGTACCAGGAGGACAGCCTGGACCCCAGACCTGATCCAGTGTGGAGGCTGCAATGAAGAGGAAGCAGCATGCAAGCTCTCCACCGGACCTGAGCACCTCCCCATCCAGAATGCTGGGAGCAGGAGAAACTGTTCCACCAGGAAGGCAGTACCGGGGATTTCATACTTCTCCATAAGGCACAGCAACAAAAGCTCAGTTCCCTTCAGTTCCCGATGGCTTTGGTTTATGGCTGCAGCACAGGAGTTGGGTTACTCACCAGGAGTGTGCGCTCCTCCTTCCGTGGGGCAGTGTTTCTAGGAAGTGGCTGTTTCGCTAGGGATCGTGTCCCGAGCACCTCCATAACCTCGCTGGGATTATTTAAGTATAGGACTGGCAGGGATGGAAAGTCACTTTCAGGTCTAAGCAGCAAGAGATGATTTTTTATTTTTGTCTCCATCTATTAGGACTCCAGGGCTCTAGGGATGGAAGAGCAATAGGCAGAAAAAACCTGGGTTCTTGAGTCACCATCTGGAAGCCTGCTGGCTGACCAGGAACAGACTCACTGGACTAGAATGTGGGGGTGTTTGCTACAGCAAAACTCTAATGGATGGAGCGGCATTCTTTTGAGGGCTAGTATTTTTGGCGGCATATTTGAAAAGATTAGCTTGCATGTATAGTAATTATACTATTGTACCGAGGATAATAGCATAGTATCACTTTTTAAGTAGAACTCTTTTCTCTCCTGATCCCTCCCTCTTAGATACTCCCAGGGAAATGCTTACAGCACCGGGCAAACAAGGTTTCTTTGTTTCTCCCTGTGTATCATCAGGCTGTGCCCCGCACCACGAAGAAATTACAGCCCACCTCGGTATTGTTTCCCCGGGCCCTGTGTTAGCATGAGTCAGAAACCGCCCGTCAGTTTCAGTGCCGTGGTGAGGAGTCACAGCAGTCTTCTTCACCCTGTGACTGAGAATCACTCCTTTATAGTGATCTGGTCGACACTTTTTGCCAGCAATCCAGAAGAGAAGAAAACAAGCTAAGAAAACCAAACTCAAAGAACCGTGACTGTGTCAGTATGTCGGGAGCAATGCTACATAATTTTAGGGAAAAATCATTTGGTTAGCCTAGTTCTCCTGCCTAGAGGCCACCTATGGCATTTTGAGACATAATTCCATTTTGGTCCCCGGTCACAACTGAGACCTCAATGATCCGGTGATGCTGTGATTCTCCTGGACAAGATTACACCAGCTGAAGACATCCTGGGAGGAACAAAATCTTCCTCTACTCAGTTCCTCATTGTTCTTGGATTGTTACATCTTGTTTACCCCGATGTACTGAACTCTCTGCAAGTCATTTGTTACATTTGTTTCTCCCGATGTACTGAATAAAAGGTGTGGTAAGCTGGGGGCTTTCGTCTTTGCCGCCCAGAGCAGCACTGATCAGACCCAAAGCTCGGCTTCTTCTCAAAATCTCATTTTTCTACCTTTCCTGAAATTCCCCTTGTGCTGCCATGGCTCGCAGGAGACTAGGACTTACTGCAGAGGTTCTAGTAACGTCCCCTTTCCCTGTTCCGTACCTTAGTACACCTTAAATAGGGAGATATTGTAATTCGTCAAGCATTTCCCATATATATATATTTTTAACATTTAGGTTGCTTCTAATTTTTGGCTCTCATAAATAACTCATTATATATAAAAGGACTACTTTTGAATGTGTA